CTCTCTGTATGTGTGTATATATATCTCCTCAATATATGTTCCATTCTATATGCATCCGAAGAAGTGGGCTGTAAGTCCACGAAAGCTTATGCTCTAATAAATTTGTTAGTCTCTAAGGTGCCACAAGTACTCCTGTTCTTCTTTTTGCGGATACAGACTAACACGGCTGCTACTCTGAAACTTGACAGTTATTGTTCTTTTTGCTCTGGTTTGCTTTCCACAGGAATGTATGTGTATGTGTAAATAAAACAACATGTTTAATAGAGTGGTTTAAGCATCAGATTTGAAATAGCTCATTTCCCCACATTCAAAGCTTGGCAGGATCAGTTCTACCAGTCATAAACCAACTTGCATGTAGTTTAATGGGTTTTCCTTGAGATTATGGACATCAAAGGCCCATAGTCAAAGATCTGACAGCAACTTTTTAAAATGTATATTGGTTTTCCCCTAGGTCTTCGGCCAAAATATACTCTCCTTGTATAACTATTCTTTGCAATAGTTAGATGACATATTCCTACTTCAGAGATGGCATCACTTTAGCATTTCTATAATTTATTAAGTGGTTCAGATCCTTTGTGCTATTAAACATAATCTATTATTTATTGGTGGTTTTCTATGTAGATAATTTTCATATAATGTGACCTGAGTTTAAGATCAAGGTTTTAAAAGCCTTGTACTGTTCGTTGCCATTTCCATGTATTGGCCAAACCGGACCGTCTCTACGCAAATGAATAAATGGACACAAATCTGACATCAGGAATCATAACATTCAAAAACAAGTAGGAGAAAACTTCAGTCTCCCTGGTCACTAAATAACAGACCTGAAAGTGGCAATTCTTCAACAAAAAAAACTTCAAAAACAGACTCCAACGTGAAACTGCAGAACTGACACTCATTTACAAACTGGACACCATCAGATTAGGCCTGAATAAAGACTGGGAGTGGTTGGGTCATTACAAAACCTAAACCTAATTTCCCCCTACTGTTATTCACATCTTCTTGTCAACTGTCTGGAATGGGCCACTCTCATTACCACTTCAAAAGTTACTTTTTCCTCTCTTGGTATCCTGCTGTCAATTGAATTGCCTCGTTAGACTGACCTCACACTTAGTAAGATAAATCACATCTTCCACATGTATTTATACCTGCTCCTGTATTTTCCACTCCATGCATCGTATGAAGTGGGTTCTTGCCCATGAAAGCTTATGCCCCAATAAATTTGTTAGGCTTTGGCTACAGTTGCGAGTCAGAGCGCATTAAAGCAGCCGCGGGTGCCCTAGCTCACTGCCCTTCCACACCGGCAAGGCACGTAGAGTGCTCTGAGTCCAGGGCTAGAGCACTCCTGGTATTCCACCTCGGTGAGAAGATTTAACACTTGGTGCGCATTGGCTGAAATGCCTGGGCGTCAGTGTGAACGAGGTGTTGCATTACTGTGGTCTGATCAGCCTCTGGAAACGTCCCATAATCTCCTTAAATCAAGTGGCCACTCCTGTCATTGTTTTGTAATCACTGCAGGTATGCCGATATGCCCTTTGAAAGCTCCGTTTCTGACAGCCGGCATGCTTATCTGCTCTGAGACAAAGCAACCATTACTGTGCAGTGCTGGGGGGAGGGGAGTCTGTTGCTGTCTGAACTTACAAGACAGCATGATGACATGCTCTCAGCCCCCCAAAAACCCACTCTCTCTCCCCCCACATACACACAACACACTCCCTGTCACACTCCACCCCACCCCACTCCCCTCATTTGAAAAGCACGTTGCAGCCACTTGCATGCTGGGATAGCTACCACAATGCACTGCTTTCTGTGGCCGTTGCAAGAGCTGCTAATGTGGCCACGCCAGTGTGCTTGCAGCTGTCAGTGTGGACAGATTGCAGCGCTTTCCCTACTGCGCTCTACGAAGGCTGGTTTAACTCAAAGCGCTCTACATCTGCAAGTGTAGCCATGCCCTTAGTCTCTAAGGTGCCACAAGGACTCCTTGTTGTAAATGCAAAGTGTTACTGATGTTTTCCTTTGGTTAAGACTTACAGAGCTTTTCCCCCTACAGTAGTTTTTCTCGTTGCTTCGAGAGGTCAAGAAGGAATTGGTTTTAGAGGTTTTTTTTAATCACATCCAGTATACGTAGCTTTTTTCACCATACATTCTTTCAGTATAGCAGAGTTCTTTATAAAGCACTCCTCCCCTGTACTAAATGATCATTTGAGTCACATCTTTCTTCCTTAAAACTAACTATGCCTATAGGAGCTAAGTATTTAATAACAGAAGTCCATAACAATAAATTGCATGAGCGTTATACCAGCTTTTAACAAGAATACAGACATGGCCAGAAAACATTTCAGTCTGTACCTTTATTTGTATGGTGGTTAAATGCAGATTTTATGAGTTTCTAAATACTGGTCCAGATAATTAGTAAACGTTGTTTTACTTCAAACAGAGTCATTGAATGACGTTCTAACTAAGCTAATTCAGTGATCTGAAATGCTTTAGAAATACCATGAATACATTTCAGGATTTTAGTTAACAGAAGGTGTGTAGATTTAGGATTATATATAAATATATATATATAGAGAGAGAGAATTTTGGGTGTATTAAAATATTGATACTACGTTTTGTGAAGTCATACATACAGAGAGTTAGAGAGCACAGAAGGCTTCCTTAAGGCTATATCTGCACTTCGAGCTGGGGTGTCTGATTCCCAGCTTGCATAGACATACCTGCACTAGCTCTACTCGAGGTCATGTG